GTTGAAAGTGGAGTGATGTTGGAGTGTTTTGGCCAGATCCGTGTATAGGCTCTCGTATATTTTGGTTTTTGACCAATTTACCCCTGACTAGTAGTGGTCAAGAGTCAAAACAACCCACTGTCTCGAGACCCACAAACAGTAAAAAAAAAAAAAAAGACATGAACATGTCCTTGGTTTTGTCATCATTTTAACTAGATTCAGGGTTAATTTTTTACAATATAAAAAAATTATATATATGAACTGATTTTTGAAATCTGATTGTATGAAATGACCAGAATGCCCCAAGGAATGTAATAGGAGGTGTGGCGATACACAGTACATCAACGCGTGCCTTTTGTTCTGCAACAAATGCTGCAGGAAGTGTTTGTGTGTGCCTCCGGGTTATTATGGGAATAAACAAGTTTGCTCTTGCTACAACAACTGGAAAACCAAAGAGGGTGGACCAAAATGCCCTTGAAATTATCCCCACTTCTCAACTTACGACTTTAATATCCTTCTTATAATAATATTTTCAGAGACGTTTAATTTATTAATATTTCAATGTTTTCCTATCCTAATGTTGTAATGTGTTTTGTCACTCCTTTCGGATTTTTTTGGTTTTAAATCCTAAAAAAAAATGAGAGTGGCCTATGAATGGCTATTTATACAAAAAAATGAGAGTGGCTTATCTTTAATTTTTTTTGTGTGTTTCTATATATTTTTATTTTGTTCCTTGTAGACGAATACATAAAATCGAGAATAGTAGAAAGGTAAAAGAAACGATACACTTAATAAATTCCTCTAAAGCATACAACAAAAAAATAATGCGATCGACGTAAATTAAAAATGGGCTACGAGGCCCAATCTAAGCCCATTACTGAATCTTCCACGGGTTTCACCAAAATCACGTCCTACGCGATTGCGTTTTGCCCTTTTTTCTTTTTTTTTAATGTACCAGACAATTCCACGATTTTGCCGTTATCTTCTCAGTGATAAGGCACAGGACATGAGGCAGCAGGTGGCGAAAAGATTCGCGATAGATTACAAGAATGAATCATACATATAATCGGTGCTTTGATATGAACCGCACATTTTTTTTGTTTTTCACAGTAGATACATAAACCACAAACTTACCAAAACTGTTTAATCAGTTTAGTGATCATATATAACCCTGCGTTACAATAATACTTTATGATACAAATTTTAAAACTGTATGATATACACTTATTTCATGTTTTGACTACCTGTAGGATATATACAGCTTATAGCCACTGCTGTATAAGTTGTTTTTAATGGTTTACAGATAGAAAGTGACTAGACCATCATTGTTTAAATGCGAAAAATTTTAAAATTAAGTCGATGGTCCCTTTTTGAAATGTATAAATTATTTTAAGCTTCTAGTGGGAAAATATAATGTCTTTACTCAACACGCCCTCCATAGATTTAGGGCCTTATTTAAATTGTGGCAATTAAGTCGTTTTCGTACATTAAATAATTTTATTCTTTTTAGCTCGTCATTACTCATCGGTAGATATATGGAAATAGGCGGACTAGTCCCATTTAGAGTTGCCCCAACTTGGTCTTAATGATGTGGGTTTATAAATATTCGTGGCCAATGGTCTAAATCAGGCATGTGCTTAGAGGTAACAAGTGGATATTCTCAAATCAGAAAACCTTAATATACGTATTTTCCTGTCCCAAAACTATAGGATTC